GACCCAACTCGACGAGTCAGGTCAACTGTATGTTGACTTTGACCAATAGGTTGACTTTGACAGACTATTTTACCCTCAGTGTAGTTATCAGTGATTGATTGAGTGTACTTATGGAAATTGTAGTTGGGGAGATACCGGAGTAGCAGCAGACAGTTTCCCGAGCAGTTCATTCAGCAGCCAGATTACGAGGTGAGTTTCCTTCTAGTAGGAATAGGTCTACGGCCACAATGCCGGTCGGATTAGCTAGCAATAGTTTCCAGAATTCTGTCCGATGCAGCAGATAGTGTGTTTAATGCGTCGTGGCTCAAACAGAATTTATGTGTTATGTGTTCCGGGCTACGGCCTGATGCAATATGTAGTATATGTGTTTATGTTAGATGATATGTGTTATGCTAGTTGATATGTGTTTATGCTATGCTATGATCAGTTAGTTTCGGACTTCGGTCCGATGCAGTCAGTTCCGGACTTCGATCCTATGCAGCTAGTTCCGGACACCAGTCCGATGCAGGGGACAAGGTCCCAGTCAGTTCCGGACTTTGGTCCGATGCAGTGGGCAAGGCCCAGTATGTGATTTATATGTATTGTATGGTATGTGGTAGTTTGGGGGAGCTCACTAAGCTTCGTGCTTACAGTTTCAGTTTTGGTTTCAGGTACTTCCGCAAGTAAAGGGAAGAGCTCGGGATGACGGCATCGCACACACCATAGCTTCAGTCTTTGTCCAGGGAGTTTGTTTTGACTCATAGTCTGATTTGATACAGTTGTTTCATGACATTTTATTATGATTTGAGATATTTGACGTATGGTTTTATGATATGACGTTCAGTATATGATTTTTATTATTATTAAAACAAAAAAATTTGAGTCGTATTTTTGGATGTTACAATTGAGGGTTAAATTGTAACTTTTGGACTTGAATTGCTATGAATTCTGAAGGCTGGGGATGTTTGGTAAATTATGGATTTAAGTTGAAAAGAAATTGAGAGGGATGGAGTGGAAGTGTAATAATGAGTTAAGTTTGATTATGGACGGGGCATATACTCATCACCCTCCTCTTAACCTTCATTTAAAAGACAATATAAACACTAACCCTAGAAAATTTTCCATCCGACACCCTTATCTCCCCCCCCCCCCCCCGGTTTTTTGAAGTCACGAACCACCAAACCAACACCACCGTTGTTGTTGCCGACTATAGAGGGATCGAAGAGACAACTGTTTTGACGTTGGGGTAGTGGGTGATTGATAGAGTAAGTCGTGGTCATCGCTGTCGTTGTTCTCCATCCCTTTTTGTCGATACGTTGTTGCCGCTGCCGCCACTCCGAGCGGCTGATGTGTCTTGTTGTCGCTGCTCCGACTGCCGCCCGTTTCCTTGAGGGTGGCTGATTTGGGTTTGTATTTCTATTTTGTATCTCGTGTTCGTGATTTTGTGTTGTTGTTGCAAGCTGTTTGTGGGTGTTTGGTTGGCCGAAAAGCGAGTCGGACCACCATGGCAGCCAACCATGGTGGCTGTCGCCCTTTCTGCCTTTTCAGTCACCACCAGGCACCAGCCACCGTGTGTGGGTGGCTGTGTGTGTGATATGGTGTTTGAGTGTGTGTTCTAATGGTGAATGTTGTATATGCATTTCTTAGTCAAAAATAAGAAAACCCACCACCATCGTGAGCCACAAGTGGGTGGTGCCCGGCCTAGTGAAGCTCTAATTAACGTAAAAATTTAACATTGGGCCTAGTTAGCATGTGATTGGGTTGGAAACCCTAATTAAGGTTTAGAAAAAACTAATCTTGGAGACTTTAGTTTGGGACTTGTCGGGACCCGCGTTTTGGATCGTTGGATTGAAGTTATGAATTATGCCCGACCACATTGTATGATTGACCTGGTAGAGTGATGGACTTAATGGATTAATTCCTTAATGGGTTAAGTGTTCTTACTTAAACCTAATCGTCATTTCATATGAAAACCCTAATTGTTTTTGGGCTTCGAGTTGGGCCTTTCTTTTGGGCTTAGGTGTTTGGGTTCTTGATGGGCCATTTGAGAACAAGTGTATAAACAAGGATATTTGGATGGGCTTTAGGGAAGGCCCATGTAAGGGGGTTTGGGCCCAATTTGGAAAATGGGCCATAATTGGCATTGGTTGGTTATTTGGCATTTGGGCCTCCAGAGTGTGAGTTTGGGCCTTGAGCTTGGACCAAGCTAGGTTAGTGGTAAAATGGTCTTTTTACCCCTAAGTATGGATTTATGGTTATGTATTAGAATCTAATTGTTAATTGAGTTTTGTTTTGATGTTTACAGTTCGGGCATCTGTCAGCCAGCAGCCAGAGATTTATCCGCAAGCAGTGCGAGGTGAGTTTCCTCACTAAGTCTAGCGGGTCGAAGGCACCAATGCCGGCCCAGGGTTGCTATGTAGAGTGTCAAATGTCTACGTGACTCTTGCATATATATGTGTTTTGTATGTTTACTGGGCGATGCCCAATGGGTATTCTGTATGCTAGTATCGTGTTATGCATATTTGATTTGTATGTGGGCGGGACCCGATGATTGTACAGTATGTTATTATCTTTGTGATTTCTGCATGTGTTTGAATGTTTATATGATTATATGGTCATGTAAGTGTGGGCGTGGTCTATATCTCATTGGGCGGGGCCCGATATGCAAGTGTGGGTGGGGCTCGTATCTCGGTGGGCGGGGCCCAACATGCGAGTATGTGTGGGGTCCGTATCTCATTATTATTCAAGTGTGGGTAGGGCTCGTATCTCATTTGGGCGGGGGCCCATTATATGTATGTGCAATATGTTGTATCTTAGGGAACTCACTAAGCTTCGTGTTTACGGTTTTCAGTTTATGTTTCAGGTACTTCAGTTTTCAATGGAAGAGCTCGAGACGGTTGCAAGACACACGCCACACGTTCCACATTCCGTGATTTACTCTGATTCGATGATGTTTTACTAAATCTTGACAACCATGGTCTTATGGAAATGATATGTATTATGATTTATTAATTTATAAACGAAAAATTTATGTTATTATTTTTGGGACGTTACACGATGAATAGATCAAGTCATCAAGAGGCATTTGAGTCGCGTAGGTTGAGTAATACGGTCTTTTATCACTAAAAAAGAGGGATGATACGGTCTTTTCAGTGACAAAAACAATCATAAACAGACATTAATTGCAAAAAAATAAAAATGTTTTTTGTTCTCAAGTTAAAAATCCAGCTTAAAAAAAAGTTCTCTAAATTTTCGAAAACATCTTCTAAATCGTCGATTGAGTTATAACCATATCGGTTACTTTAATGGTGTGTTTGACACCGAGTTTATGGGAGTTTTTAACTTCTATCTTTTATAAACAAACTTCGTGTAAGAGTATGTCGGTAACAACTTTTGATTTTTTTTTTAAAAACTCATAATATAAAAGTTATTTCAAATAGTTTTTTTTTGAAGCTTTTTGTTTTTTATTTTATGTAATTTTGCACATTTAAAAGTTATAAACTAATTTTGTCGAATATTTCTATACAAATAAATGTTACAGTTCCAACTACTCGCTACCAAACACCCTTTAATAGAGTTATGCGAAAAACCGGTTCAAACGTTATATATTATTATTATTAAAAAAAAAAAAAAAAAAAAAAAAAAAAAAAAAAAAAACCTAGGTCAGACGAAGCCTCTCAAAGCTACTCTAACATCAACCAAATTATATTAACTTAGCAAGTAAGTTAAGAGCACGATTCTCTACCATTTTTTTGCTAAGTGAGTGTTGAATTAGTAATTTATCAACGATTATTAGTTCGTTAGTAATTTATTGACAGATTCTCTAGTAATGTACAATTTATCTTAGTTTTGTTCATTTTAATATTCGAACATTTTTTTGAAAGGAATATGTATAGTTTTAAAGGGAAATAGAATAATTTTAAAAATTATATATACACTTAAAAGTGGAGAGCCTTATCTACAGTGTTTTTTGGGTTTTTCTACTTTTGCCACTTTATTTCTATCATGTTGCCTTCCTTTGACTCAAACTTAAGTTTTGTATTAGCGACCTTCTTTCTTTTCCCTTTTAATCATCTTTTGCTCCAGGGTACTTTTTTTGGTTTTTTTTATTTTGGCCACTTTGTTTCCATCCTATTCCCTTCTAACTCATATTTTTCTTTAAAAACTTATTTTTAAGCAGTGGTATTAATAAAAGTATTTGTAATCGGCTCATAATCTTTTTATAAAATAAAAATCATGACAAAGACATTTAGATCATTATATGTTCCAATTTTACGGAAAAATATTACAATACTATATAATTAAATAACCACTGTTTTAATTAAATGTTAATATGCATACTATTCAAATACATAACATTACATATCAATATAAAAAGTTCCCTATATAGTAATTTTTTTTTAAAAGATATTTAATCATGAATTCCGATAAAATTAACCTATACATCCTAGATAGCCATAGTATCGCCACCAAACTGTCACTTTAATCACACACGTCATTACCACGGTCTTAACAATGTGCCAACGTTTTAATAACCAAAACTGACACCATTAAATTCAAATTTCAAATACAAAAATATAAATAACCAATAAATTGTTTATTAAACTTTTTTAATATACTTACAACGAAATTAGATAATAAATAAATAAAACAAACTAACATGTTTTTATACGTCTTTATCACTTAATATCAAATTTTAATTAAATAATAAACTGTTTCTTCAATCCTTTTAATAGACTTACAATGAAAATAATGAAAGTTCGATGGTTATTAAAAATAACATAACAAAAAAAAAACTTTTCTAATATGCATTCATCGTTTCATATCCTATAACCTACTCACCTAAAACAGATATAGTATTGCCACGAAATTGTTAATTGAAGCATACATGTCATAACACTAATGTGACCATCATGCCATGAATTACAAAAGCACAGTAAAACTCCATATGAATCACTTATATAAGAACCAAAGCATGACTTCACATACACACAGTAAAACACATACTACACTACACAAATATGAAAGACGTCACAGTTCGAGAAATTTTACAACAACTGATTACCCATCTACGAGAGGTCAGTGACATGATGAAGGCGGTTCAAATAACAATTGAAGGAGTTAAAATCCATGACGATTTTAACAGCAATCTCTCTATAGAAGAAAATAGTAGCAATTACAAAATCATAAAAGACCTTCTTGAAGATGCAAATACCGAAAACCTATCCATGCAAGACAATACATCATTTATGTTGGGGTCAATTCACAAACGAATTGGCAAATACAAGCAGTTGATGAAGAAGTTCACAGATGTCTAAGTCTTTCGTTACGTATGTTATTGCTTTCATTACCTATAAGCGTATGTAATATATAGTAAATAATAAAAAGTTGCTTAACGAAACGCCACCCTAAAAGCATAGACCTGCCTCATTAATATATAGTAAATAATAAAAAGTTGCTTAACGAAACGCCACCCTAAAAGCATAGACCTGCCTCATTAACTTTTCTGAGCCACCATATCAAACCCGAATATCATTCAAGCGTCAGAAATTGAAATAAACAAAAACAAGATTTAAATGTTATCATTACTTCTCTAACCTACCACGTAAAATTAAACGACCATAAATTAGAATAAGCCTTCATTCCAAATCATCAGACTAACACACAAATAACTTCACTCATACACAAAAAAAAATTCAGATGCTAGAAGCAGCTTTAAATAGCATCGACACCAAAGATTGGTAGTATATATATTTTGTTTCTCCTTTACGTTCTATTATTAACATAACAATACAACAAAATTAGAAAAAAAAAAAAAAAAAAAAAAATAATAATGATACCAATTGACCCCCCGCAGAGGCGCGGGGGCAACTCTTCCCTAGTCCATCTTGGACGTTCTTATACACATACCAAAGACGTAATCATAATCTTGAAATTCGTTCATCATTTTCTTCTACTCGGCTCACTGACAACCCAATTCAAAATCCATTAATCCAGCATTTCTTTGAAAATAATTCTTAACAAATTGAAACCCATCAAGGCATGGCATCTTCAAACTCACAACACACACACCCTCCTGGTTCTTGTAGTTCTGCCGGACAATCTACACCACCCGTCGGAAACAACCCACCGGAACTGCATCCACACGGTTCAAACGTCAACAGGAAGAAGAGACTCACCCACGGCCAACTGGCTACCCGCCTTTCTATGCCAAGCAAGCGCCGTCAAACTGAATCATCCACCGGAAAAGAAATCGACGATCAAACTGAAATCACCACTGCCTCCAGCCCACGTCGGAAAGAAGAGATTAACCTTTTGAAGAACATTCTTGACTTTTACCATAAAACTCAGACGTACCCAGATGCTGACCTGGACAACCTGATAAAATTCTATCTGCAATGGATTCAAGGACGCGTTGAGGCTTATGCAGATGAATTTGAAGTGGGTAAAAAGATCGACGAATTGAATTTTAGATTCTTTAAGAAAATAGGGAAGAAACTGAATGGTGAAGATGTTGAAGGTGCGATGGATCCTATTGACATTAAAATCTTTCAATTGTCAAATCTGATTTGGGGATTAGAAGATGATCATGGTGGTATGGAAGCTTCATCGACAAAAGCGAACGAAGTTGGATCTTCATCTTTGGCTCGTTAGAGCTTAGAATGCGTATAATCCCTCTGTCAAGTTTGAACAGAATTCACGAATTACCTTCTAATGTCATGCATGAGTTGCATTGGATGAATCAAGGACTGATGATTAGGGTTTAATGGTATCAAGAAGTTTGTTCATATGATAATTAGGGTTTACTGGTTTCAAGAAGTTTTGTTCATAGAAGCAATAGAACCGTTTGGATGTTCAAATGATTTAACTTTTGGTAAATGTGTTTGATGTTCATGTTCATTTCTTGATGATTGCCTTTATCTCTAACATCTTTCTTTCTCTTTTTTTTTTTACATCCCATGACTTCAAATCTACTTTTTCATATTCTTGATTTGTTTCGTGTTGACTATTGAATCAAAAGTCAAAATCCGAAAGAAGAATTTATATTATAAAAATTTAGATCTTAAGGACAAAAGTTCCTCAAAGATTTAAGAGGTACAACCTTATAACAAAGAAAGGAAGTAGACCGGACAATATACTAAAAATCTAAAATGACTATTAAAAGCATCTTCAACTTACTTTTATTCTTTATTATTTTTTTATTTCTTCTACCATTCATCTTCAATCATATCCATTTATTCTTCATTAATCATATCCATTTATTCTTCATTTTAAAAGTATCTTTAACTTACTCTTATTCTTTATTATTTTTTTATTTCTTCTACCATTCATCTTCAATCATACTCATTTATTCTCCATTTTGAGGGAAATATTTGGTGTTGTACTATTTATTTTCACCAAAATGAGAATAAATTTTAAGTTATCGGTTTTAATCCCTCGTTTTATATATTTATATATTTCTGCTCTTTTTATCTACTAATTATTATTTAAATGTAATATTTAATACTTAGAGCATCTCCAATGATAAACCTATATCATAGGTCAAAATTATTGTTACTTCACTATTTTATTTTTATTGATCTCTAATTAAATTGTTTCTCTAATAGTTAAATTTTTTTATGATTTTTTTTTAATTTAACTATTTTATCCTTATCTATATTAAATATTATATAACCCTCCCCCCTCGTTTAACTAATCGTTTTTTAAACACATCATATTTTAATATAAACATTCATTTATGAACAAACAATTTACTTATTACGATAATTTATATTTATCTATTGTATATTTGTTTATCTGTAAATTTTAGATAAATAATAAATAAATCAAAGGTAGAAAATGAAATAGTTTTAAATAGAAAGTGGTTGATTGTTCAAACCTGTAAACTATATTGATCACTCAATTTATATTAAGTAGTAAAAAAAAAAAAAGCAAATAAGTCATACACTCCAATGGTGTTTAATTATTTTGAACACTTAAGCAGATAGTAATAAGCTATAAAAAAAAAACTCATCATTGGATATGCTCTTATAATATTTTGTTATATATTAAATTATATTAATTAATTATAAATATAATTTTTTTGTTTATCAAATTCATATTAAAAATTAAATACATATTGAAATTTTAAAACATAATAACGTATTTTACAAAAGCTTATAATTACGTATTATATGTATATAATCTTATTTATTCAATATTATTGTAATAAAAAAAAATATAGATTATATATTTGTTAAAACCAAATTAATAGAATGAGTTTATTTGACAATTTATACAAATTAGAAGAACAAAATATATTTTTTTGGGAGTAAAAATGAAGTAAGATTGGAAATGAAACACTATTTATCCTATTTTTTAATTTCATTTTTAGGGGGAAAATGAAATTGGATTGGAGATTGTCTAAACTAGCTAATCATATGATCATTAACTAGAAGTTTATTATTTTATCCCTAATCCTTATTATTTTTTTAATTGTACTGGAAATTTTATACTTTTGCCTTTCAATATATATATATATATATATATATATATATATATATATATATATATATATACTGAATTTTAAGAGGTATAACCTTTAAAGCATCATATACAACAAATTTTTGCAATCCAGATAAATCATATCATATCGGATCAACATTTAGAAAAGTCAAGAAAGCTTTTATCGCCCTTATTATGAAGGCGTTATTGTTTTGAGTTTTGACCTGGCTTCTCTTGTCTCAACATTTCCCCATATTTCGGCAAATTCGTTTATTGTTCATATATAGACACATTCAATAGAAGCTCCCCGTCACTCCCTCATCACATTGATCTGGCATGGGTCTCTCTAGAAACCCTAGTCGTCGACCTCTACCATCGGTAATTGCATCCTCTTCAAAACAAAACGACCTTTGGCCTCCTACTACGTCGTTGTTTGTTGCTCCCCCTCAACAACCATCACTATTCACCACTACATACATACACAACCATCAACTCGATTATCCCTCTGTACCCCAACCATCTGTTTGTTGCCTGCTTCACTCAATCAATATTTTGTAGTTCAAAATCGTACACATTCAACCAAAAGATTATGACTTTTATGAGAGTTAAAATGGAGAATGATTGAATAGATAGAATCGTGTTTTTTACTTTCGATCCCATCTCTGCTCACGGAAGAGTGGGCGATTCATTTTTTTAAATCAAAACCGATCATATCGTGATTTCGGGAGAAACACATACAAAATATCTGCTTGGACCACTTAACTAGACGGGCAACTCGCTCCCAAGAAGGCACACATCATCTCTTCAATTTGATTCTTGAATATGAACTTTCATGATTTTAGGATAGAGGTGTTTTAATGTTTTTATTTTGAAATTTCTTTATCTTTGTCTATTTATCGCATTGTGTTTTTATTTTGTTTAAACATTGGCATCCATTGGAAGACTCTTAGCAAAATTCTCAACACCATCGTGAATCGAAACCTAATCGAAGTCACTACCACCACCTTCATCGGCAGTTAACACAACCACCACCACCACCACCACTACTCTCATCCTTCTCTCTTCCCTATTTTTCTCCCTCGATACAAATTTGAAGGTAAGCAATGGTTCTATCTTTCTTTCACTCTCGATTCCGATTTGAAATTAAGCAATTGTTCTCATCTTTCTTGTATTGATTTTTTTCTGGAGCATAATGTTCATTTGGTCATTATGCTTAAACCTCTTTTAGATATTTAACTGATTTGAATGTGATGTGAATGCCAGATTTTCATTTGGTGTTGAAGATGTTATCTCTTTGTTCATCGGTACAATCAGCACTAAAGGTGATTACTATAAAATTTCCAATTATGGTTAACAAGCTTGATGCAATTTTTAATTTTATATACTGTTACTAGATTAACTTTTTTGTTAATTGGATAGTGAATTTGCTTTTAAAATATATTTGACTCATTTGTCGTTGTCCACTTAACCAAGTTCTATAATTCGGACTTTTTTTATTCATTTTCTTCTCATATTATTGATTCAGTATTTACAGAGCCTACACATGGCTTCATGGATAGTAGCATCAGCATAAACACCCAAAATTATTTTGGAAGATGCTTCTCAAAGAAGGTAACATAGATGTTTCTCAAAAGAGAGCATTTTCTCGATACCATTTCCAAATACTAATTTTTCTGTAAATGATGGTGATTGGATAAATTTGAAGTACTCCATATCAAGTCCAAATACTAATTTTTCTGTAAATGATAGTGATTTGATAAATCCAAATACCAATTTTTTTACAAATGATAGTGATTTGATAAATTTAAACTAAGTTAGAGAGGGACCCAATTAA